TTGTTTGTTTTTTCTGTATATTTTTCTTCATGCTGTCGGATCTATATCCATATATTTGCTTACATATATATATATATATATATATATATATATTAAAAGACAATGGGAAAACTGTATTATATTATGAAAATTACCTCAAGTACTGCATGCAAAAGTATTTGACGTTATTTTCAGTTGACAATAGCGTTTTCTAAATTCTTCTAGTTGCTAAGGCCATTTTGTTTGTTGTTAATAGTTATTTTGTTTTCAATAAGTTCATTTCGTTTTTGCCTTGAAAATATCCACATTGGACGAAACGCGTCGGCTAATAATACAGTTTTACTATTGTCTTTCACTTTTATACATATTGTCTTTTTCTACAGGTTAACTCGGAGAAGTTTTTCATATATATATATATATATATATATATATATATAAGGTCAATTGATTCCGCTACAAAAAAAAAAAAAAGATCTTTTTCTTTCTTTTCAACTGAACTGAGATTCTTGAAATCTTGGTATGGTTCTTGTTTTTGACTGATCAACTGGCCAATTTCTTTCTGGTGCTCGTCGAATGAGTCCTGATTTTACCTTTTTCTAAAACCCAAGCACGTCTTCAGCGGCTGATGTAATTGCATCGCTCAAGCTTGTCTATTTTCCTCTGATAGTCTCCGCGTCCGATGAGTCATTGAAGTGCTTTTCAACGGAAAGTCGTCAGACATCCGATATTTTGGGGTGCTGTAGATTCACAGATAACGCGTCGGTGAGGCCTGCCTGCAGGAAGACGCCTAAATGGCTGGCCAACAGAGATCATGAAACGCAAAAGCAGAAGACGTCTCCGCCTAATCCAGAACACCTGGTGGCAAACAAAGGCAGCGGAAATCCAATCATTTACGGACTAACGGAATATGTGTCACTTCTATGCGTACAGGAAGGAAATTCTTGGACTCACCAAATCAAGGATACTTGGACGGTACTACTGTCCTTAGTAATCCAGAGTCCATCATGAACAGTTGGGAAAAAACACACTTCCAGAGCATTCTGAACGACAAGGCCGGAAATATCCCCAATTCCATGCCCGGCATTGGATATTACTCACACCAATCGTCCAGGAATTAAGCACTCCGCTTCAGAAAACCCGGAGTGGTTCTCCTGGACCCTAAAATGTGCCCCCTGGAAGTTTTCTTCCTTCAAACACAAGAGACCGCTCACTTTTTGGTAACTATCGTGGCATCTTCCTCCTAAGCATCGCTGGCTGGATATTCGCGTGGATACTTCTGAATCGACTCCTCCCCGCGATTTAACTGCCCGGACCGCTTTGTGTAAGCACCATGACTCACAATTCGCACTGCCAAAAATTTGGAAACATCATGCTTATACAACTGCTATCTCCCAGACGTCGGCTTCCTCTGTCTTTTGTACAAGTATTTTCATGGCAACTATTTGAATGAGCTTTTTTTTTCCTGGTGTCCCGACTATATGAATTTAAACGTGCAACTAGGTTGTCATCTAGATGCCACCCTTTTACTGTTGAAATAATTAAACGCATCCGACACTTCGACCCCAACAGTTTTTTTTTCTCACATTTCACTACAGTGAAACTCTCTTTTTCCTCACTTGCTTCCGTGATGACTACAATCTTCAAAAATTTAAATGAAATGCCAATCGTCATCTTCTATTGTTTTGAACACCGTTCATCATTTAAACTTTCCTCAATCCCCAGTCTTTTCTTTAATTTTCAATCTGTAACCCACAGAGTACTAGTGGCATTCCCGCCCTTGCTTGGGGTGAAATGAATTTAAAAAAAAAAAGTCTGCTTGTATGAAACCTGTGTTTGTTCTTTGGAAATCTTTTGAAGTATGGGCGTTATATGTGATAAACATAGTCTCAGTTCCAGATGTGATAACTAGTGATGACGGTGTCATTCCTCCATTCATCTTCCCATAGGGCCTCAGACTAACCACACAAGCCTACATCAAGTGCCTTGAGGATGTAGTGCTGTCCCGGGTCAAGAGCATGGCTTCTGAAAGACCCTAAGTCTGGCAACAGAACTCTGCACTATGCCAAACAAGCAGGAGAATTTAGTCATGGTTGTCAGACAACCACATCACCTTTTACATCTGACTACCTAAATTCCCAGACTGCAACCACCTTGATTATTATGTGTGGAGTGCAGTTGATCGAGAGACCAACAAAACTTCTTGTAATACCAAAGATGAACTGAAGGGAAGGATTATGGCAACATTTACCAACTTAAACAAGGAAACCATTCAGAAGAGTTGCAGGAGAATCCAAAGTCATCTTAAGGCTATGGTTGAAGCTAATGGCACTTCTATTGAATAAACTTACTTTTTTGTATTTCAAGGTATTTTTGTGTAAATATATCTGTTAAAATGAGATGTCAGTATTATTTTCATTTTTACATAATTTAGGCGACAATTTATCCATCGCACCGTGTGTGTGTGTGTGTTTGTGTTTGTGTGTGTGTGTTTGTGTGTGTGTGTGTTTGTGTGTGTGTGTGTGTGTGTGTGTTTGTTTGTGTGTGTATGTATATATATATAAAAGTTCAGAGCAGATAATATTAGAAAGATTTTAGAGTCCCATGAAAATAAGTGGATAAAACGTCTAAAAACAAAATATCCAGCCGGGATAAACCATAAATTTAACAATATATAGATAGTAACACACACAAACACTAAACAGAGGCACATCTCACCAGGTCCAATAAAACTGTCAAACTGACCAGAGAATTCAGAGTAACATGTATCTATCCAGCTCTTATCTCAAATAACAACTTAAAAGAGACTGTTTGACCAACACAAGGAATGTTAAAAGATTCATGTGAAAAAGATAAAAAAATAAATAAACAAATGAAAACTACAGACAAAAGTTCATTTTCTCCAGCAAAAGACATTCATTTCTGTAGTTTACTGCTACCAGCTAGCAGAAATATTTCTTCTCCCAATAATGGCTATTTTGGCCGAAACTAGTCGAGGAATCTAAATGAAATAACAATAAAAAAAACGAAAGAATATTAATCTACAAACCCAGTGTGTCTAAAGATTTAATTTATTTTAATTTTTTTTATTGTTCAATATATATATATATATATATATATATATATATATATATATATATATATATATATCACAATGCATTTAATATTTAATCTATTTTTGCATTTAATGTTGATAAGAAAATACTATTGAAGGGTATTTTCTTGAATGAAACTCCCAAATTGATCAATGGACACCTCATTATGCTTGATTTGTAAGTCGTAATATTGACGATAAACCAACCTCATCAGTGGAAAGGTCGATTGACGTAGACATGGAAGCCATGTTTGGTGATTCAAGCTTATTTTTTTTAATATGAAAATAATTCCTAAATTACTATTTACTAACTTGGGGGAGCACCTAGCTACCTTTCAGTGCGCACTAATGCGCCCGGGAGCACTGGCTTAGAGTGAACATTATTTATTAGGTGAACATTATTTCAAAAAATTAGTATTAGGTGAACATTAGCAAAAAAAAAAATACAATCTTTCTTACTGCAGGCACGAAAATATTTGTTAGATTAGTGTTTTCTGGTTAGTATCTAGATGGGTGACCACTTAAGAATACCAATTACTGTAAGCTTAAATATGCGGGTAGTGTAATGGATAACTCCTCGGAATTGAAAATCGGAGACGCACGTTCCAATTCCAGTTGGGAAAACTATAAAATCCACGTTTTATCCCCCTGGCTACGGGTAAATTAGTAAAATTTGTATTAGCAAATTATTCTTTGTCTGTATTTCTAAGATGAGGTATTGTAACTATTTACATTATTTACAGTGTTCGGACTGCTGTCTTCATATTTATTGTCATATTTATGTCCTTTCGGTCGTTGTACGGTCCGGCCTTCTTCAGATGATGTATGTTTGAATCTCAAACTGAAACCTTTTTTTAGTCCACTGAACCCTAGAACAATCTACCCTAGTGGACTAGATAAAGAGTTCGGTTCGAAATTCTAACATCACCTGAAGAAGGCCGGACCGTACAACAGCCGAAAGGTCGTGAATAGGAACTATTTAGTTGACTGGAACAAGAACAATCTACCTCAGCGGACTAAATAAAAGTTTTGGTCCGAAATTCTAGCATATATCACCTGAAGGAGGCCGGACCGCACAACGGTCGAAACGTCGTGAATAGGACATATTTAGTCCACTGGAACATGAACAATCTAGTTCAGTGGATTAAATAAAAGGTTCGGTTAGAAATTCCAGGGTATACCACCTGAAGAAGGCCGGAGTGTACAACGGTCGAAACATCGTGAATATGACGATTAAAGAGGAGGACAACAGGCCCAACAATGTAAATATTGCAAATTATTATTATCTTTTGCAAAAATTCTTAAAATATAAAAAAAATAGTTTCTGGCTTTAAATAACCTGCGAAGGGTTGATAAGCCGTTAAAATCAAATCAGTCTACAGTAGGAAGCAAGTCTAAAGGTTTTATGAAAACAAATGCGTTTTTTTTTCCTTTTAAATGTATCTTTGTAATTCCTTTATGTATTAGTGTTTTAAAGGAGTGTCCGTAACTCGGAAACTTGAAAGGCCAATCTTTAGTCCGGAGCTTAGCCAAAAACTGTGAACTTTTCATTGTTATATGGTGTAATCCCCTCAACTGAATATTTGTAGTACGACCAGGTTTATTCAAATCTCGGAATATGCGCGCGCGTTACATTTCGTTTTTTTCCCTCGTCTAGATTATCCTACGGTTGTCTCTCCTCCAAGTTATTCGCTTTTGAGGTACGGTGTAAATGCCACGGAAGGTGCGGTTAAGCTTTGAATTCCACCCCAACCCGCCACATAGGCCTCCCCGTCCTTAGCCAACACCTGTGGGCACCTGCAATTCAATTTCTATCTGACGTGTCAGATTGGTGGGACCTGTCGAGGCTCAACATAATTCCGCTTGACAGCGAACCCCGGCGGGGCGCTACAGAGTCAGTCGCATGTTGAACGTGACGAACTTTGAATGGTTATTGAGAGGGACGGATGGGGTCTGCATGCAAGGAAGGAAGGAATGGAGGAAAGAAGAAATGGAGGGAGGAGGAAGAGAGAGAGAGGGAGGGAGGAAGAAAGGAGAGAGGGAAGAAGGAAGGAATGGTGGAAAGAAGGATGGAAGGAAGGAATGAAAGGAGGGAGAGAGAGAGGAAGGAAGGAAGGAAGGAAGAAAGAAAGGAAGGAGGGAGGAGGAAGAGAGAGAGGGAGGAAGGAAGGAAGAAAGGAGAGAGGGAAGAATGAAGGAATGGAGGAAAGAAGGAAGGAACGAATGAAAGGAGGGAGGGAGAGAGGAAGGAAGGAAGGAAAGGAGGGAGGAGGAAGAGAGTGAGATAGGAAGGAAGAAAGGAGAGAGGGGAGAAGGAAGGAATGGTGGAAAGAAGGAAGGAAGGAATGAAAAGAGGAAGGAAGGAAGGAAGGAAGAGAGGGAGGGAGAAAAGAAGGAAGGGAGAGAGGGAGGAATGAATGAAGAAAGGAATGAAGGAAGAGAGGGAGGGAGACAAGATGTAAGGAAGGGAGGAGAAAGAAAGAAAGAAAGAAAGAAAGAAAGAAAGAAAGATAGAAAGAAAGAAAGAAAGGAAAGGAGGAAGGAAGGAGAGAGAGGAAGGAAGGAAGGAGAGAGGGAGGTACGAAGGAAAGAAGGAAGGGAGAGAGAAAGGAAGGAAGGAAAGAAGGAAGGAATGAAAGGAGGGAGGGGGAGAGGAAGGAAGGGTGAGAGGAAGGAAGGAAGGAAGGAAGGAAGGAAGGAAGGAAGGGACAGTGCCAAAGAAAACAGATATAATTTTTGGTCGAAACCAGCGTAAAGACATCGACATTCAAAAGCAAAATTCCTCGTCTCGGATACCTACACACCATTTTTTTTTTTTTTAAATACATTTATTTTTTTGCTCTTTTTTTCATTCGAGGATTTCATGTATTTTATTTTTTGTTTTACACGAATACTTTTTTTTATTTCTTCATTTCATTTCTTGTTTGGATTCCAATGTTTCTTCTTTTCTTTTCTTTCACTGATGCTCCTTTTTTATCCTTCCGTTGTTGGACCTTTTGTTATATTCAGATGGACAGCGGAAGTGTGCTACGGGCATATTCTTATTTAATTTTCTTAAATGTTCTAATATTGCGCGGATGGCTTCTTTATACTCATAACATTAAAAGCATTCTCATATACACACAGATGGCCTCCATATGGTGCAATAATTTCCGAGCTAGCCTAATAAAAATGACATATACGTGTGTGTATTTCATGAAATAATATAGACATATTGTGTCTATTTTTGTACTAATCCTTTCCAGTTGTTTAATCACATTCTTGATGTTAAGATTAAATTCATCAAGGAAGGCGCTGTAGTTTTTTCTAACCCAAGTACTTTCGATGTTTTTCCAAGATCATCTTCAGGGATAAATTAAAAAGACAAACTTATAACTGCGATGATATCTGCATTCCATTATGATGGGGATATATTTTATTCTAAAATAAATATAAGAGAGATCGTTCTCGAGTCTTTTTTTTTTTTTAAATTCAGAATTTAAACACAACAAAGATCTGAACTTAACAAAAATTATTGTCCATAATGTTGTCTTTTCTACTTTGGCAAATGGCTGCGAAACCTGGATTCTATATCGTCACGACATGCAACAATTAGAACGCTTTCACCAACAAAATGAACATCAAAGGAAAAAAAATACTACATGGCCAACACCAAAGTCCTGTAAAGAGTTAACAGTCAAAACATTGAATCGATAATCAGGTAACACCGTCTTTGATGGTCAGGACATGTAGCAAAAATATATGTGTGTGTGTGTGTGTGTGTGTGTGTGTGTGTGTGTGTGTGTGTGTGTGTGTGTGTGTGTACCATGGAATAATATACACATATCGTGTCTATTTATTTTTGTACTGATCCTTTCAAGTTGTCTAATCACTTTCTTGATGTTAAGATTAAATTCATCAAGTAAGACGTTGTAGTTTTTTCGTACCCAAGTACTTTCGATCTTTTTCCAAGATAATCATCAGGGATAAATTAAAAAAGACAAACTTATTATAACTGCGATGATATCTGCATTCCATTATGATGGTGATTTTTTTTTTTTTTAATTCTAAAATAACTATAAGAGAAAGCGTTCTCGAGTCTTTTTTTTTTAAAAAAAAAATTCAGAATTTCATCTTAACATCAAGAAACTGATTAGAGAACACAGAAGTGGAGCTTCATACGGGACATTTGGAAAGCTAATCAAATGCGTCTTCAACAACAAAGATCTGACCTTAACAGAAATTATTGTCTATAATGTTGTCTTTTCTACTTTGCACGAAAATTACAACTCTACACACACAAATTAGAAAGCTTTCGCCAGCAAAAGCTTCGCTCAATCTTGAACATCGAATGAAAATACTACGTGACCAACACCAAAGTCCTGGAAAGAGTTAACAGTCAAAGCATCATTATATATATATATGTGTGTATGTGTGTGTGTGTGTGTGTGTGTGAGTGTGTGTGTGTGTGTGTGTGTGTGTACCATGGAATAATATAGACATATCGTGTCCATTTTTGTACTGTCATCAAGGAAGGCGCTGTAGTTTTTTCTAACCCAAGTACTTTCGATCTCTTCCAAGATCATCTTCAGGGATAAATTAAAAAAAGCCAAACACATAACTGCAATGATATCTGCATTCCATTATGATGGTGATTTTTTTTTATTCTAATTTTTTTTTTATTCTGAAATAAGACAGGGCGTTGTCGAGTCTTTTTTTTTTAAATTAAGAATTTCATCTTAACACCAAGAAACCGATTAGAGAAATGGAAAGGATCAGTATGAAATTAAATAGACACAAGATGTTCATATTATTTAATGAATCATTCGGGTAAAAATGATAAGATTTACATAGAGATAGACAATAGTGTCGAGACTCTATCTCTATGTCTGATACATCTCTTGGTCAATAGAGCCTTTTCCATATCTAGGCAGCCTTTTATAAAAAAAGTGCACCCCAGAAAAGGATGTGGTTTGGAGCCGGTCACGGGGCGTTTGGAAAGTTAATCAATCTCTTTTTCAATATCAAAGAATTGAACTTAACAAAAAAAAAAAAATAGCTCATGTCTATTATACTGTTGCCATTTCAACTTATATATAGATGCAAAACCTGAATCTATTTTGTCGGGATATCGAAAAATTAGAACGCTTTCACCAGCAAAAGCTTCGTTCAAATTCGAACATCAACAGGAATTAATATGTGACCAACGCCTAACACCTGAAAAGAGCCAACAGTCAAAGCATCGATATATATATATATATATATATATATATATATATATATATATATATATATATATATATATATATATATAAAAAACAGAGAAATTTAATGGTTCATGGGATCATAATTTATTTCCTTAGGGCGGATTTTATTGTAATTCATCAGAACTCCATTTTCATACAATACTATTGGTGACTAATTTTCCCAGCGTTAAAAATTTATATATTATTGTTTTTAATTTATGCACACGTGTTTGAGGAGGAAGTTTTAAGATGGTATAAGGTGATAGAGAGAGGAGGTGTAAAATAATCAATAATAATATGAAAGTTTTTAAGCCTGGAAAAATGAATTATATATATATATATATATATATATATATATATATATATATATATATATATATAAAAGGCTCAAACACTAATATTCCAGGGTTATAATTTATTACACTGGAATCGTAATCACGATCCGACTCATCAGACCTACAAATTCAAAAAGAAATCGGAAAATATAACTCCGGGTATGAAAAACAAAATTTTAGTGAGAGTGTATGTGTCTGGAAGTGGGAAACAAGTGTGAGAGGGAAATGTAGGAAAGCTCTAGAGAGAGGTGTATCAAAAGAAAGAAGAACAGAAAGGTCAAAAGGTGAAGGTATCTTGATTCTATCCTATTGGGAATTTATATATATATATTATAAATTAATATATATATATATATATATACATTATAAATTGATTTAAAATCTGTTTTTTCGCTACACATTTCTAACCATGTTTCAAAAATTTTGGAATCATGGTTAGAACTGTGTAGCGAATTTTTGAAACCTGGTTAGAACTGTGTACCGAAAAAAGCATATTTTAAATCAATTAATTAATAATATTAATGCTCTGTAAATTTACTTTGAGCACTATTTTGTAAAAATAAAAATATCTATAAGAACGCCGGATTATATATCTTACAGTTCTCATATATATATATATATATATATATATATATATATATATATATATAAAAAAAAAGTCCAAGTTAGATTTTTCACCTACTCCAGCAATAAGGAAATATTTGCTAAGTACAAAATTAAATTTATAAAGGCTTAAAAAATAAGTGATCATAAAGTTAATTTCTGGAGTATTTAGAAATAAACAAAAGGTAAAAAATAAGCAGAAACTCCTTAAACGCAACATTCTCTGGTTTAATCCAACTCTTAATCGTAATGACCAAAACTATTTTTTGGGATTATGTTATTGTTTTCTTCCACTTCATTCATATTCAAGAACCAATGCGTTGATTGGACAACTTGTCTAGAAGAACGACAACTCTGAATTCAAAACCTTACGAGGGTCCTTTGGAGACCTTGTGTCACATTATACTTCCCTGTTTTCGGCTATTCCAAAAGGTTTGCTTGGTTCTTGCAGAAGCCTTCACTACTATAATCGAATCTCATGTGCCGGTAGTCAGGCTGTTCGCTTCTAATAAATGAGTTGCTGTACGCTCACACAGCGAAGACGTCCGGAGGTTTCCAGTTTAAATGTATATATCTACGCGTGCGTACACCTATATGCGTGCATGCATGAATGTACACGTTTGTGCATGCATGGGCGTATAAATATAGACATATGCACATATATTCAAACAATAATAAATAAAAATTTAATTATGAATCTAACCTCCTACAATTAATACTTATGATACCACCAAGCCAAATAAGAAAACGAAGTAATAGTCTGGTGAAGATATATAGACATATGTGACGTCGTCCCCCCCTGGTCGCAGCGTCGACTGTGTCGTTCGATCCCGTTCGCGACGCCAGCTGTTCGCTCCTCGCTGCTCCAAGTGTGACGTTCTAACCCTTTGGTTAGATGAATACTAGCCTCGTCGTTCCCAACCCGCTTCCAACGCCTGGTTACCAGGGTAACTGCACTGATCTCCGGTCTGCCTACCCACGTTGTGATTAGATCTTAGACAGACGGGATCAAACAGGGAGTCCAACGGGGGTGATAACACACAAGAAAAATAAAACTCACAGGGTCAAAAAATATTGAAGAAAAAGGTAACAACTTTTTATATCTAATTGTTTGTTACACAAGATTATTCCTACCTCCCGACCCGTTCTGTGGACTGTGGCACCACGCTTCTACCATACAACTTTAAGGCTTCGAGTTGCTTGCTCTCTAGAAATTTGCATTTCGGGGTGTGGTTTGGTTTCAACACTGGGCGCTGATCTCTACCTGTCGTTCACGGCTGATTTCTCTCGCCGTCCGTGGCTGCAACTAACTCTCTCTTCAGAGTCTGAATTATTGTTCACTCATCTCTGCCGTCAGTGCGCGTATTAACTTCTTCTCTTCGGCTTCGGTTGGACGAGATTATTCACTTCGGCTTGAGTCGGGCGAATTTCTTCACTTCGACTTGGGTTGGACGAATTTCTCCGCTTAGGCTTGGTTTGATTCCAACTTCTCCACTTAGGCCAAACGGGCTGCTTCACTTCGGCTTCTCTTGCCCGCAAGGGGGCGAATGAACCGGGCCCGCCGCCCGCGCTCAAACTCCCTCGCCGTCCGCGGCGCA